TCCCAGGTTCAAGTGATTCTCTTGCCTCAGCCTCCCAAGTAGCTGGGATTACAAGTGCATGCCACCATGCCCAGCTAATTTTTGTATTTTTAGTAGAGACAGGGTTTCACTATGTTGGCCAGGGTGGTCTTGAACTCCTGACCTTATGATCTGCCCGTCTTGGCCTCCCAAAGTGCTAGGATTACAGACACGTGAGCCACAGTGCCTGGCCTAAAGAACTCTTACAGATCAACAATAAAAGGACAAATAACCTAATTAAAAAATGAGTGAAGATCTGAATAGGCAGTTCCCTAGGAAGATGCATGAAGGGCCAGTAAGCATATGAAAAGAGGCCATCATTAGGGAAACAAACCAAAGCCACAGTGTGATACCACTTCACACCCACTAGGAGAGCTAGGCTCAAAAATACTGAAGCTTTCATATAAAAAAAAGTGGGCGTGGGGGAGGTAGGGGCAATGTTCTCAGGGCCTCGGCAGGGCTGTGTGACAGGACATAGTCACACATTAAAACAAAACAAAAAACCAAAAAAACCTGGCAGAGGTTGCAGTGAGCCAAGATCATGCCCCTGCACTCCAGCTTGGGTGACAGAGCAAGACTTTGTCTCAAAAAAAAAAAAAAAAAGTTCTTTATATAACCTGGATATTAGATCCTAGTCAGATGTGTCATTGACATATATTTTTTCCTAATCCATGTGCTGTAATTGTGTGTATGTGTGCGCGTGTATGTAATAAATAGCTTTATGGCTGTTCCTTTTGTCAGGGCTACATGTTAATTACAAAAGTAGAAAATTTAGAAAATTTACATAGAAAATTTACAAAGAAAACCAGTAAGAAGTAACTGTTGTTAAAGTGTAGAGTGCTATGCACCATCCCCTGTTTTAAGTACGAGGAATAATACCTTTTCTTTTGGTTTTGAGATGGAGTCTCGCTCTATTGCCCAGGCTGGAGTACAGTGGTGCCATCTGGCTCACTGCAACCTTTCCCTCCTGGGTTCAAGTGATTCTCCTGCCTCAGCCTGCCGAGTAGCTGGGACTACAGGTGCACGCCACCGTGCCTGGCTAATTTTTGTATTTTTAGTAGAGATAGGATTTCCCCATGTTGTCCAGGCTGATCTCGAACTCCTAACCTCAAGTGATCCATCCGCCCCCGCCTTCCAAAGGGCTAGGCTTACAGGCGTGGGCCACCACACCCAGCCCGTGGAATAATATCTAACTAATTTTCACCAATTCCCTATGAGGCAGCAGCAATTTGAGCTGCATTTCACAGGTGAGGAGAACGAGGCAGGAAGAGGTGAAGCACCGTGCCTGGTGTCAGGTTGGGTTCCAGTCTCAGTGGCCGTGGCTGAGTTTTGCGTTTGTTGTCCGGGTTTCTCTCTGCCCAGGCTGTATTCATCTGTGGTTTTTGGTGTGAGTTTTGCGTTTGTTGTCCCGGTTTCTCTCTGCCCAGGCTGTATTCATCTGTAGTTTTTGGTGTGAGTTTTGTGTTTATTTTCCCGGTTTCTCTCTGCCCAGGCTGTATTCATCTGCGGTTTTTGGTGACTTCGAGCAGTTTCCTCCTCCAGAAATCACCCGGAGGCCTGTTGAAGACTTAATCCTTCAAATGAAGGCTCTCAACATTGAAAAGGTCAGTTGCTGTCCCCAGTCCCGCTCTGAGCCACCCCAGTGGGCCACCTCCCTTTCCCTGAGGCAGGGAGCCCAGAGCTGGGCCTGCTGGTATCTGGCCTGTGGCAGCCGCTTACACGACAGTGCATCAGCAGGTGCTCCCAGGGCTTTTGGACTCCTGTCACCGTTGCCTCCCTAATGCTGTGTCCCCCGTGGGCACCCAGGGGATGGCTGCCTGGAGTAGAGGCAGCAGGGTCCTGCGCGCTGTTCGTGGACCATCTGTCCGTGGGGTGTGCAGAACATGCTGCTGGCTCTTCCTGGCTGCAGCCTTCTCCGACGCAGTCCTCCAGTGGAGGGGGATCCCTCTAGGGTCACCTCCCCTCTCCCTGCTCCAGGGCAGGCTGAGCCAGGCAGTGCCCCGTGCCATGCTGCGTGCTGTCCTGTGGGCATTCAGATCACCATTTAACTGATGAGGAAACAGAGGCAGGGAAGTGAAGGTTTTTGTCCAGGGTCACACATCTAATAAGCAATAGAACCCTTTTAAACATCTGTGCTCACTGATTTTTCTGGATGTTAATATGTTCAAAATTATAAAAACTTTAGATACTTGAGATCACCAGGGAGAAGGTGAAGCCTGTCCCACTGTCCACTATTTGTGACCTGTGTCCCAGTTATGTTTCCAAACACATAACATCCTGTACTTCATTATTGTGGTTGTCTGAATATTGTGTGATATTTTACAGGCTGCTTTGGGCTTTTTTCACCTAATAAAAATCATGGGTGCTGGCCGGGCATGGTGGCTCACACCTGTAATCCCAGCACTTTGGGAAGCCGAGGCAGGTGAATTACTTGAGGTCAGGAATTCGAGACCAGCCTGGCCAACATGGTGAAACCCCATCTCTACTAAAAATAAATAAAAAAAAATATTAGCCAAGGAGGCTGGGCACGGTGGCTCACGCCTGTAATCCCAGCACTTTGGAAGGCCGAGGCAGGTGGATCACGAAGTCAGGAGTTCAAGACCAGCTTGGCCAACATAGTGAAACCCTGTCTGTAGTAAAGATATAAAAAATTAGCTGGGTGTGGTGGCACACACCTGTAATCCCAGCTACTCAGGAGGCTGAGGCAGGATAATCACTTGAACCCAGGAGGCAGAGGTTGCAGTGCACTTAGATTGCACCATTGCACTCCAGCCTGGGCGACAGGGCAAGACTCCATCTCAAAAAAAAAAAAGAAGCCAGGCATGGTGACAGGTGCCTATAATCCCAGCTACTTGGAAGACTGAGGCAGGAGAATCACTTGAGCCTGGGAGGCAGAGGTTGCAATGAGCCAAGATCATGCCATTGCACTCCAGACTGGGAGACAGAGCAAGACTCTGTCTCAAAAAAAAAAAAAGGGCTGAGTGCGGTAGCTCACAGCACTTTGGGAGGCCGAGGCGGGCAGATCACAACATCAGGAATTCGAGACCAGCCTGGCCAATATGGTGAAACCCCGTCTCTACTAAAAATACAAAAATTAGACACTACAGGTGGTGGGCACCTGTAGTCCCAGCTACTTGGGAGGCTGAGGCAGGAGAATTGCTTGAACCTGAGAGGCAGCAGTTGCAGTGAGCCGAGGCCGTGCCATTGCACTCCAGCCTGGACGACATAGCAAGACTCCATCTCAAAAAAACAAGAATAAAAGAAAAAGAAAAACATCATAGATGCCAAGTATGTGCTGGGCGCTCTGTATGTGTGACCTCAGGTTATCCTCCCAGCCATTCTAGGAGGGAGTTGCTAGTGTTATCGCCCCATTTTCCAGATGAGGAGCCTGAGGCACGAAGACAGGCCTGATTGTGGGTCACATGGATAAAACGTGTCAGGGTTGGGCTGGGAGCTCAGTGTGGCTGGGAGCACTGTCTGGAGTGCCTCCCACAATGACATCAAGTCCCCTCTGTAGGAACTCTGCAGTGGCTTCCCCTGGCTCTTGAGTCAGCTCCAGAGCAGGTCCCCACCTGCCTTCCCCCAGTCCTGGGTTCCTAGCGTTCCCGCCCTACCTGCGTGCCTGCTGTAGGCTCACTGCCCCGCCTCTAGCTTTATTGAGATAGAGCTGGCGCACCACACAGTCACCTGTTGAAAGTGTGCGGGTCAGTAGTTTCCAGTGTGTTCACAAAGTTGTGCAAACACCACCATGGCCATTTTCATCACCCCAGACAGAAAGAAAGCATGTCGCCTTCATCTGTCACCACCTCCCAGCTCCCTGGCCCCTGCGCCCACTCCTCTCTATGGATTTGCCAGTTTGGGACATTTCATGCAGATGGAATCCTGCAACATGTGGCCTTTGGGCCCGGCATCTTTCCCTGAGTGTGATGTTCTCAAGGTCCATCCGTGGTGTAGCGCGTGTCGCTGCTTCATTCCTTTTCGTGGCTGAATCATAGTCCATTTTGTGGATGGACTGCGTTTTGTTCATCCACTTCTCCATTGGGAGACGCGTGGGTCGTTTCCGTCTTTTGGCTATTGTGATAAATTTATTCACACTATTATTATTATTATTATTTTGAGAGGGAGTCTCACTCTTGTCACCCAGGCTGGAATGCAGTGGCATGATCTCAGCTCACTGAAACCCCCGCCTCTCAGGTTCAAGTGATTCTCCCATCTCAGCCTCCCAAATAGCTGGGACTAAAGGCGAGCGCCACCACGCCCGGCTAATTTTTGTCTTTTTAGTAGAGATGGGGGTTTCACCGTATTGGTCAGGCTGGTCTCGAACTCCTGACCTCAGGTGATCTGCCCGCCTCAGCCTCCCAAAGTGCTGGGATTACAGGCGTGAGCCACCGCACCGGGCCAATTTATTCATATTATGCCTCACTGACTACCTGTGGCCCCTCCTGGTCAAATGACGCTGAGTTCTCATGAGTGTAACAGTATGTTTAAAAACAAAAACTGAAAAAAGCACCCAGTGGGGGCAAAGCACAGCCCTCAGTGCCTAGCCAGTGCTTGGGATGTGTTTTTGAGTGAATGGATGATGTGACTGAGTGAAGGAGGCTTTGGGGTTCCATTGGGACCTGGCCTTTGAGGGTGCCCCAGCCCCATGTGTCCCCACTGGCATGAGCTGAACCCGGAGAGAGCGGGTGGAGGGAGTGCCTGCCACAGATGGAGCAGGAGCACCAGACTTGCTTCTTGGCATTCACCGTGTCCCTGCCGTGTCTCCTCGTGTCTCGTGTCCCAGGTCATCAACTTCCCCTTCCCGACGCCCCCCTCCGTGGAGGCCCTTCTTGCCGCCGAGGAGCTGTTGATCGCACTGGGTGCCCTGCAACCGCCCCAGAAAGCAGAAAGGTAGGACCAAGAGATGCAGGACTCAGTTCCTGTCCCGTTCGGGGCCCTCTCTCCCCTTTGCTGGGCCTGAGCCGCCTCAAGCGTGGGGCCTCCCAGCTCTGGCTCCAGAGCTCCTCTCAGAGCACTGCCACCACCACCTCCATCTCCAGGGTGAAGCAACTGCAGAAGAACCGGCTGAGTTGCCCCATCACTGCGCTGGGCCGGACCATGGCCACATTCCCCGTGGCACCCCGCTACGCCAAGATGCTGGCTCTGAGCCGGCAACACGGCTGCCTGCCCTATGCCATCACCATCGTGGCCAGCATGACGGTGCGGGAGCTGTTTGAGGAGCTGGACAGGTGCGAGGTTAGCAGCTGGGTACTCAGGGCCAAGCTCAGTCCCGACAGGGGCTCCGATCTGAGAGCCGACCTGCACCCTGGCTTCCTAGGGAATCACCGGCTTGTTGGGTGGCCTCCTGCAAGACCCTCATTCTCTCTGAGCCCTTCTGTATTCTAATCTCTGCAGTGGCCGTGTTGGTCCCTGTCTGCTGCCCCTTATACATCGCATGAAACAGACTAGGAGGTGGGGGGGTCCCCCTGATCATCAGAGGGTCATGGATTCCAGAAAAAGGACACTTTGAGTGAAACCATTTAAAACACAGACCAAAATAGGGAAAGGCAGTACCCTTGAAAAGTGCCACTAAGGCCAGGCGTGGTGGCTCACGCCTGTAATCCCTGCACTTTGGGAGGCTGAGACTTGAGGTCAGGAGTTTGAGACTAGCCTGGACATGGTAAAACCCCGTCTGTATAAAAAAAATACAAAAATTAGCCAGGCGTGGTGGCGCATGCCTGTAATCCCAGCTACTCGGGAGGCTGAGGCATGAGAATCATTTGAACCCAGGAGGTAGAGGGTTGTGGTGAGCTGAGATCGCACCACTGTATTCCAGCCTGGGCAACAGTGAGACCCTTCTCTAAAAAAAGAAAAAGAAAAGTGACACTAAGACTGTGAAAGTATGTTGAAAGTATGTTTAGTGCATTGTGTATTTAACAAAATTTATTTATAGATTATGACTACATGCTGATTCTTAGAATGAACAATTATTTAATGATTTCCTGGCATCCTGAGCCTTTGGCAGCTTGATGATAAAAGGGGTCATTTCTGCAGAAATTTCTGGAAGCAACTTGAGTGTCTCAAGGGCTTCGTAAGTCTTCAGCGTTCACATCATTCCTCCTGAAACAGCCTTTCACGCCATCAGTTGTGACCATCTCTGCCTCAGCTGTGAGCCAGGCTTCTGCTGCCACCATGGCTCGTCAACTGTGAATGGTGCAGGCAGGCCCACGATGCCACTTCATTGACTCTGTGAGCCTCTGCATCTTGTGCAAAGCCTGCTGCTTGCTTCCCTTAGGGTCAGTCTGCCTGTGTTTGGGCCATCTTGTCAGATGACAGAGCAGACACTAGTTGGGAAGGCAGTTAGGTGGACACTGGGGAATCTTTTGAGATTTGGATGGTTTTTCTTTATTTATTCTCCTCCACCTCCCCTCCCCAGTCTCACCCACCCTAACCAGGAACTTTGCTGTAGGCCACGTCACTGCGTGGGCCATTCCATACCGCAGCCGCTAACCGCATGTGGTCTGAGCCTGTGAAATGTGGCAGTTACGACAACAACCTGACTTAAAACCTTACTTATTTTTAATAGTTTAAATTTAAACAGCCACATGTGGCTAGTGGCCACCATATTGGCCAGTGCAGTTCCAGACCTTTCCCTGTGCTCTGCCCGGACAGAGATTTACGTTGAGGAAATGAGATCAGATGGTCTTGCAGCTTGCCTTTTCTGCATCCTGTATCTTTTCAGGGTCAGTGCATCTGAACTTCAAAAGCAGCTTTAGCCAGGCATGGTGGCTCACGCCTGTAATCCCAGCACTTGGGATGCCGAGGCAGGCAGATTACTCGAGAGGTCAGGAGTTTGAGACCAGCCTGGCCAACACGGTGAAACCCCGTCTCTACTAAAAATAAAAAACCAGGCGTGGTGGTGGACACCAGCTATTCGTCGGAATCCCTTGGGGAGAATAATAGGGTTCTCTGGAGAAACAGAAAGTGGTGTCCGTTTCAGTCGGGGTCTGAAGGCACAGGAACCAGGAGCGTCAAGGGCAGGGAAGACCCAGCTCACGCAGTCAGCAGAGCCGGAAGTCACACCTCCTCTGCCTACTTGGGCCCTCAGTGGATCGGATGCGGCCCACACCCACACTGGGGAGGACAGTAGCTTTACGCCGGTCACCAATTCAAAGACACACCCAGAAATAAAGCTTAACCAGCTATCTGGACATGCCTTTGCCCAGTTAAGTGGACACAAAATTAACTGTCACATGTAAGGTCTTGAAAACCGAGGTGTCTTGGCCTCTGCCCAGATCCCCTGATCAGCATCTCCTGGTCCCAGCATCTCTAAGACTGCCTGCCCAGTGCTGGCGTCAAGGCTCTATAGCATGGTGACTGAGAGCTCAGGTCTGGTTCAAATCTCCCTCTGCCATTCTGAGCTGTGTGGCCTTAGGCAAATGACTGTACCACTCTGAGCTTCATTTTCTCCATCTGGAAAATGGGGATGATGATGATGATGATAATTGGATTGTTGGTAGAATTAAATGAGTTAACACAAGCAAAGGTCTTTGAGCCGTGCCTGACACATATGTAAGTGTTAGTATTATTTTCAGGTTTGGAAGCTACTGGCATCATTCATTTATCCAGTCCACTTTGGTGGCTATTTAAGCAGTTTGCAGAGTTTTTTTTTACTTAAAAATGGTGCAGTGGCTGGGCACGATGGCTCACGCCTATAATCCCAGCACTCTGGGAGGCCGAGATGGGTGGATCATGAGGTCAGAAGATCGAGACCATCCTGGCTAACATGGTGAAACCCCGTCTCTACTTAAAAAAAAATACAAAAAATTAGCCGGGTGTGGTGGCAGGCGCCTGTAGTCCCAGCTACTTGGGAGGCTGAGGCAGGAGAATGGTGTGAACCTGGAAGGCAGAACTTGCAGTGAGCCGAGATCGGGCCACTGCACTCCAGCCTGGGCGATAGAGCGAGACTCTGTCTCAAAAAAAAGAAAAAAAGCAACGGGGCAGCGGTGGCTGCCAATGGTGAATTTTGAGCTGGACCTTAATACCTTAATTACATTCATCGGTGACCCCACAAGGCCTCTGAGCCTGTCCTGATGAATAAAAGAGTTCCCCCCGCTGAGGCCCTGAGTACAGCCGGGACCCCAGCCCGGACAGTATGTGTGTGTTTGCAGACCAGCAGCCAGTGACGAGGAGCTCGCCAGGCTGAAGAGCAAGCGGGCCTGGGTGGCCCAGATGAAGAGGACCTGGGCAGGGCAGGGGGCTTCTCTGAAGCTCGGTGACCTCATGGTGCTGCTGGGTTAGTGCCCTGCCTGGTGGAGGGTGGTGGGGGGGGTCACCCAGGCATGGGATGGATCAGAGAGAGAGCATGCCCCCTCTTCATCCCCTAGGTGCCGTGGGAGCCTGTGAGTATGCCGGCTGCACGCCCCAGTTTTGCGAAGCCAACGGGCTGCGGTACAAAGCCATGATGGAGATCCGGCGCCTGCGGGGCCAGCTGACCAGCGCAGGTACGGCCCCGCGCCGGCATATGCTGCTGCACCCGGTGGGCACCCCGACCTGGGCACTTGAAATGTTTAAAAAAGTGATCCATAGAGTCCATGTTTGCACACTTGCTACGCACCAAAATGTTTTTATAACCCTAAATCAATACTTGGGGAGCTTTTCCAGGCACGAGGGAATGTGCACACGAGCAGGGCACTAACAGATTCGAGCTGCCAGCCTGCGCCTTCCCCCACCATGTCGTCTCTCGGTTTCACCTTTTCCCTGGTGAGGCCCTGCCGTTTTCCATCACTGCTCTGGCCTGGACTCCCTTCCCTCCCACATGTCCCCCAGACCCTTCTCATGCAGAAGGATGAGGCCTTGCCCTGGACTCTACCTCAGCTCAGCAGCACATAATCCTTCCTGCCACCAACACCCAGGGAAGCTTGAGAGGAAGGAAATGTCCTCCAACATACGGCAAGAGGACCATGCGTACGGAGGGCAGCCTGGACACTGGGTCTCTTCTGGGCAGGCCACGTTCTTTTACCCAAGGCTAGTGGGGAATTTGCCTTCCATTCAAGGAGATCCCAGGGTTTGATGCCAGCATTGATGGCTCTCTTCCAGCCGATCCTTCTCCCAGCGCCAGGTGCATGGTGGTGGCCCTGTCACTGTGCTCTGTGTCCCTCTGGCTGTGGCTTTCCAGAACAGCCCCATTCCAGGTGCAGCAGCTCAGAATTGCAGTCAGCCTCTAGATAGCACTGGTTACAGTGGCTTGGTGACATTAGACCTTTACTGTTGCAAGGAAGAGAAGCCACTGAGTCAGCAGCCCAGGGCATTTCTCTGCTGCCATCCTCCTGCCGTTCGCTGTGCCTTCCATCCTAAGGTCACCTCATGGGCTGAGGAGGTAGTTGGAGGCTTGGTCGCCCCTGCCTTCCGGGCAGGAGAAGGGAAGGACAAGGCCAGGGCACCCGCCGGCTGTCCTTTTCCTGTATTGAGCGTTCCCAGGAATTCCAGCCGCAACTTCCTTCTCCACGTCATGGACCAGAACTGAGTCTGAGGCCACCTGGGTGTTGGGGGAGGGCCGTCTCCTAGCAGAATGCTCTGCTGACCAGGCAGGATATGAGGCTTTGTCCCAAGGGAGAAGGAGGGGCTGGGGGGCGGCTGCAGTCCTGCCTGCTGGGGGCTTTGGGTCCTGCTGGTGGCCTCTGGGGAGTGGCTGAGGCTAGAGCACTGAACATGGTTGGAACTTTCTAGGAGGTCAGGGCAGAGCTGGCCCCAGGCCTCGCCACCACTATCCTCACTCTTGGATCTCCCCTCAGTCAATGCCGTGTGCCCAGAGGCTGAGCTCTTCGTGGATCCCAAGATGCAGCCGCCCACCGAGAGCCAGGTGACCTACCTGCGACAGATCGTGACAGCCGGCCTGGGGGACCACCTGGCCCGCAGGGTCCAGAGCGAGGAGCTACTGGAGGACAAGTGGAGGAATGCCTACAAGGTGGGGCCCCCGCCGTCTCCCTGCCAGGGTAGCTTGGGGCACGGTCGGGGCACCTGGCGGGGGGCAGGCAGGCTGGGTCCTCGGGGTCTTGGGGAGGCCTGTCCCCCTCAGTTGTGGGTCCCCACCGAGGAACAAGTGGGGCTTGCAGTAGAATCACATCTTCCTTGGTTCGTTTCTCACTCCCAACTTTTTTTTTTAATAACAGTTTAATGGAGATAGAATTCACACAGCATTTAAACTCTTTTTGGGTTTTCTGTTTTTCTTAGAAACGGGGTCTCGCTCTGCCGCCCAGGATAGAGTGCAGTGGCACAATCACAGCTCACTGGAGCCTCAAATTCCCAGGCACAAACAACGTTCTTGCCTCAGCCTCCTGAGTAGTTGGGACTAATTTTGTTGTTGTTGTTTTGTTTTTTTGAGACAGAGCCTCACTCTGTTGCCCATATTAGAATGTAGTGGCGCGAACTCAGCTCACTGCAACCTCCGTCTCCTGGGTTCCAGCCATTTTCCTGCCTCAGCCTCCCAAGTAGCTGGGATTACAGGCACGTGCCACCACGGCCAGCTAATTTTTGTGTTTTTACTAGAGAAGGAGTTTCATCATTTTGGCCAGGCTGGTCTCAAACTCCTGGCCTCAAATGATCTGCCTGCCTCAGCCTCCCAAAATGCTGGGCTTACAGGCAGTGTTACCCAGGCTGGTCTTGAACTCCTGGCCTCTAGCAATCCTTCCACCTTGGGCTGCCAAAGTGTTGGGATTACAGATGTGACCCACTGCATCTGGCCTGCATTTAAACCCATTTAAAGTGTTCAATTCAGTGGTTTTTAGTATTTTCACAGAGTTTTGCAACCATTAGCATAGTTAACTTTAGAACATTTTTATTACCCAACAAAGAAACCCCACACCTGTAAGCTATGAGTCCCCAGTTCCCCTTCACCACCGTTTTCATGATCCTGCTTTCCGTCGGTGGATCTGCCTGTACTGGACATGTGGCATGAGTGGAATCTTAACATACATGGCTTTTTGTGTCTGGCCTCTTTCACTTAGTGTGATGCTTTCAAGCCCCATCCATGCCATGGCGGGCGTGGGTGCTTCTTTTTTTTTTTTTTTTTTTTTTTGAGATGGAGTTTTGCTCTTGTTGCCCAAGCCGGAGTGCAATGGCATGATCTTGGCTCATTGCAATCTCCACCTCCCAGGTTCAAGCAATTCTCCTACCTCAGCCTCCCGAGTAGCTGGGATTACAGGTGTGCGCCACCACACCCAGCTAATTTTTTGTATTTTTAGTAGAAATAGGGTTTCATCAACATGGTGAAACCAGCCAGGCTGGTCTCGAACTCTTGACCTCAGATGATCCACCTGCTTTGGCCTCCCAGAGTGTTAGATTATAGGCATGAGCCACTGCACCCGGCACTTCCTTCCTTTTCATGGCTAGATCAGACTCCGGTGTGCAGATGGGCCGCGTTTCCTGGCAGATGGAACACTCTCCCACTTTTGTGGCTGGAGTGGATATTCAGAGTCTCCTGGGTTGAGAATATGCAGAGACCCTGGGCTTGGGTTCCTTACTGACCACATCACCTCCATTCTCTGCAGACCCCTCTCCTCGACGACCCTGTCTTCATCCACCCCAGCTCCGTCCTTTTCAAAGAGCTCCCTGAGTTTGTGGTCTACCAGGAAATCATGGAGACCACCAAGATGTACATGAAAGGTGCTGAGGCCTGGGGACAGCCCCTTGTTCCCCGATGGTGGCTGTGATGGGGGTGTGGCTGGGACCCTGGGGCAGAGGCATGGGAGCCCCTCCCACAGAGGGTGCCGCTGTAACCCCAGCTTCCTCCCCTGGCCCCCAGGCGTCTCCAGCGTGGAGGTCCAGTGGATCCCGGCCCTGCTGCCCTCTTACTGCCAGTTTGACAAGCCCCTGGAGGAGCCAGCCCCTACCTACTGCCCCGAGCGGGGGCGGGTGCTCTGTCACCGAGCCAGCGTGTTCTGTGAGTTGGGGCAGTGTCCCAGGCAACCTGAGCCTCCCGCAGCCCTGGGCTTCTCGGACGCATGGCACTGTCCCCTGCCCCTGGACGTGTGTGTCTTGGGTGGGGGAGGGATGGGACTCAGGCGGTCAGCTACAAGAGGGTCCCTGGCTCACTGACTCCTGCCCTCCAGATCGCGTGGGCTGGCCGCTCCCCGCCATCGAGGTGGATTTTCCAGAGGGTATTGACCGCTACAAGCACTTTGCCCGGTTCCTGCTGGAAGGACAGGTAGGTGGCACAGCGGCTCCAGGCCCTCATTTCAGGTACCGTGGGCAGCAGCAGCCTCACCCCTTCCTGTGGTCTCTCATCAGGTCTTCCGCAAGCTGGCCTCATACCAGAGCTGTCTGCTGTCCAGCCCCAGCACCATGCTGAAGACGTGGGCCAGGTACTGCTTGCAGTGGGCAGGAGGGGTCGGAGGCCTAAATGACCTCCCCAGGGCTGCCGGGACAGAGCACCACACACGGGGAGGCTTAAAAGATCCGAAGCATGTGCTCAGGTCTGAAGGTTCTGCAGGGCCACGCTCTGTGCAGCGGCTTTCGGGGAGGGTCCCTCTTGCCTCTGCTGGCCTCTTGGGCTTGTGGCCACATCACTGCAGTCTCTGCCTCCATCTTCATGTGGCCATCTCTCTGTGTGTCTCTAGTCTCCCTCCCTGTGCTCTCTCCTTATAAGGACACCAGTCATTGGATTCAGGGTCCACCCTACTCTAGGGTGACCTCTCCTTAACTCATGACATTTGCAATGACTCTCTTTCCATATAAGGTCACACGCTGATGTTCTTGGTGGGCATGAATCTGGGGTAGGGAAGACACTGGGCAGCTCCCCGAGAGCTGCCAGGTGTCAGTGGGAGGCATCCTGGCCCTGGGGACTTCCTCCCAGCTGAACAGACCCCTGCCCCATCCCGCCCACCACCTCTGCTTCAGGGCTCACCCTTGCCTTCCACCTCCTCCTGCTCTCCTCCTGCCTGTGGTCCAGACCCACAGACACCTCCCCCTTCCTGGGACTGGCGGAGCCTGTGGTGCAGGGGCTTGGGGCACTGGAGGCAGACCTGAAGGTGCAGGCAGGTGCCAGGGACTCAAGATGGGGTGTGGGGCACAGCACCTGCTGCTAGGCTGTCAGGAGCAGCGTCAGTCACCCAGCTCACGTTTTCCAGTGCGGCCCTGTCCCAGGCGTGTTCTCGGGGCTGGGATACAGACATGGTCTCTGTCCCACAGTGGCGTCTCTCGGCCCCAGAGGGACAGAGCAGGACATGAGTGAGGCCTCGATGGGCTTAGGGTGGAGTGCGACTGGGCTGGTCGGGGAGAGCGTCACTGGGCAGATTCAGAGGAGGCAGGGCCGGGGCAGGGCCGGAGCAGGGCACAAATCTGGAGGAAGGTTCCAGATGAGACAAGTTGCATGCACGGAGCAGCCTTGGTGGGCAAGGAATGTGGGCCAGAGGCAGCCAGGGTGGATGGGAGGAGGTGGGATCTAGAGCCTTCTGTCCCAGAATGATTAGGGGAAGGGGACCCTTTGCTTTCTCTTTTATTTTATTATTATTATTTATTTTTTAGAAGGCCTGTCTAGAGAATTTTGGTTTTTTTGCTTTTGAGTTTTGTTTGTTTGCTTGCTTGTTTGTTTGAGACAGAGTTTTGTTCTTGTTGCCCAGGCTAGAGTGCAATGGCGCAATCTCAGCTCACTGCAGCCTCTGCCTCCTGGGTTCAAGTGATTCTCCTGCCTCAGCCTCCTGAGTAGCTGGGATTACAGGCACCCGCCACCATGCCCAGCAAATATTTTTGGATTTTTAGTAGAGATAGGGTTTCACCATGTTAGCCAAGCTGGTCTCGAACTTCTGGCCTCAGGTGATCCACCTGCCTCGGCCTCCCAAAGTGCTGGGATTACAGGCGTGAGCCACCACGCCCAGCCAATTTGTTTGTTTTTGAGACAAGGTCTTGCCCTGTCACCCAGGCTGGAGTGCAGTGGTATAATCATGGCTCACTGCAGCCTCCAACTCCCGGGCTCAAGGGATCCTCCTACTTCAGCCTCCCGAGTAACTGGGGCTACAGGTGCATGTCACCATGCGCAGCCAGCTCTTCACCCTCCGGGGTGGGGCCGGTAGGGTGGTGATGCCTGCCCTGTTTTCAGGCCCCCAGCAGCAGCTGGTCTGTGCCCTGGCTGCCTGCCACCAACCTGCATCCCTGCCCCACAGGCTGCAGCCCCGGACGGAGAGCCTTCTGCGAGCCCTGGTTGCAGAGAAGGCTGACTGCCGTGAAGCCTTGCTGGCCGCTTGGAAGAAAAACCCCCAGTGTGAGTTTGACCAGGGCCAGGGGGTGGGAGTGGACGGGATGGGGTCACCGAAGCAGGGGCTTTGTGCTTTGTGCACAGTCAGCCCTGGCTTGGCAGAAGGATCTGGCCCCATGGCTGCTGGCCAGCTTCCTGCCACCTCAGGAGAGTCCCTGGGCCCAGGGTCACCCTGACGCTATCCTCCTTCCCTCCCCTGCAGACCTGCTGGCCGAGTACTGTGAGTGGCTTCCACAGGCCATGCACCCCGATATCGAGAAAGCCTGGCCCCCCACCACTGACCACTGACCGTCAGACACCTGGCTGGAGGGCCGAAAATGCACCCCGATATCGAGAAAGCCTGGCCCCCCACCACTGACCACTGACCGGACACCTGGCTGGAGGGCCGAGGACTGGAGGGCTGGCAGCAGCCTGTCACCCTGCGACCATGACTGCCTGGCGTGGGCTTCATGGCCTGCTCTCGGGAAGCAGGTCAAGCCCTGGGAAGCTCGTCCATGAGAACTCGATACTGTATGAAGCGTGCTGCTGCCCGTGCCGTCTGGCCTGGGGGTGACTTTTTGAACTGATTATTACATGGTGGATGATGATTTCATCTCACGTGCTGGACACTGTTCTGTTCAGTGTGCTCTTTGGACTACATTAGTCCGCCGTGGAGCAGCAGGGCCGGAGGTCTCTGCAGTCCCTTCCCCGCTGCCCTACCAGAAGGCCAAGGAGGCACGTGGAGGGCTCATCCTTTCTGCAATTCTTCCCTCTAGAGTCAGGGAGGTCCGCCCAGCCCTGGCCTCACAGCTGTCCCAGATGTTAGGTGAGCCACCGAGCTGTGCGTTGACCTTGAGGGGCCCGGCTCGGGGCCCCCAGGCTCCACGCCTTCTTGGGAGGGTGGACGCCGGCACCTTTCCTATGTTACGGCTGCGGGGAGTGAGCATCTCGTCTGCCTGTGGTCAGCTCTCAGACGGCAGGGAGCGGAGCTGACCTTGGCCGTGCTTGGTCACCGCTGCCATGCCGCAGAGGATGGGCCTAGCTAGGCTGGGGCCACAGGACTATTCTGTCGGCCTTGAATGGGGACTGCAGAACCCTCAGTTTGTCTCCCTTGTTCCTCTGTGGCCGAGGTGGGAGGGGTAGGTCCCCCAGCAAGAGAGACAGGAGCACCCCAGACAGGACCAAGGAGTCGGGAGGCCCCTGCCCTTGCGTCCTCCATGGTGAGGGCCCGGACGTCTCCCCAGAGCCCAGCGCTCGCAGGGTGGATTCCGCTCCTGGCTTTGCTTCTGCGGCTTTGGTGGAGACAGTTATGGAATAAAATGTTCCTTGCACCCAGATTATTTTGTGGAATACGCTTGGGGAAGGACACCCAGGTGGCGAGTGTGCTGTCGCGGGACGCGGCCTGGTGGCCGACCTGCCTTCCCAGTACTGCCATCTGCTCTAGGGAGGCCTCTCCTCGCTGGGTTTACTTACCTCCCTGGCTGCTCTCGAAGCCTGAGCAGCTCCCTCTCCCCACCTGCCCCATAGCTGAGATGGCAGCCCGGCCCTTCTCGCTCCAGGTTCCTCCCCAGGAGCCCAAGGCAGGGCCGTGAGCCAGGGCCCTGCAGACACGTTTGCTTAACCCGCCCAGTGATTGAGGAAGACCTGAATTCCTCACTAACATGTAGAATTGAGCTGTTTCCCACTCAAAAGTACTGACCTCCAGCTTTCCTGAAATCCCACCGCACATGGGCTGGCAATTCTGAGATGAAAGTGGAAGCCATCATTCCCACCGCTGTCTCAGGCGCCGGGGCAGCCTCCTTAGGGACGTCCCTGCCTCCTCATCGCACTCCACAGCCACAGCAAAGCGTCCACAGTTGTAATTAGGCGATGCTTTTTTAAAAATGTTATGTAATTAACATACCATAAAATTCACCATTTGAAGGTATACAGTTGCTTTTAGTATATCACAGTTGTGCAACCATTACCATGACCTGATTCCAGAGCATTTTTCTAGCCCTAAAAAGATACCCCGTACCCATCAGCAGTCTGCCCCATTTCTCCCAGTTCCCCCAGCTCCAGGCCCCACGAATCCATGTTCTGTCTCTGGATTTGCGCTTTCTGGACATTTATCTCGTTGCCTTTTTTTTTTTGGTTTTTTGTTTGTTTTTTTTTAGAAATGTACCATTTTATTACAAAGAGGCTCACAAAAATGAAAATCGTATCTCAAAAAGGAAACTAGACTAGCACCTCCACCTGCAGAATTAGGAGAAGACGGGGCCGGCAGCATTTCTTGGCTCACTTGAGGCCAGTGGGAAGGTATGAAAACAGGCTGATGTTACCTTAGGAGCCTGGAAAGAACAGGAAATCCTTGAAGACCCAGCTACCCCTTCTAGAATGTTCAATAAGGGCACCTTTCCAAAGCTATTAAGCGGGCACTTGGCATTTCAGGATTTTGTCTTATGGTTGCGTAAAAGTATCCCTGCCATCTGCTCTAGGGAGGCCTCTCCTCGCTGCGGTGGCTCAAGCCTGTAATCCCAGCACTTTGGGAGGCCGAGACGGGCAGATCACGAGGTCGGGAGATCGAGACCATCCTGGCTAACCCGGTGAAACCCCGTCTCTACTAAAAAATACAAAAAACTAGCTGGGCGAGGTGGCGGGCGCCTGTAGTCCCAGCTGCTCGGGAGACTGAGGCAGGAGAATGGCGTAAACTCGGGAGGCGGAGCTTGCAGTGAGCTGAGATCCGGCCACTGCACTCCAGCCTGGGCCACAGAGCGAGACTCCGTCTCAAAAAAAAAAAAAGAAAGAAAGAAAATATAAAATCTGACAGGTTGGGGGAGAAAGGTGAGGGACTCGGCAGGAAGCCAGAGCTGGAGAGGTCTGTTCAGGCCAACTTGACCTCCTCCTTGACCCCTTTGGCTTCTGGCTTCTCCTCCTTGGTTTTCTCCTCTTCTGTGACTTCTTTCTTCTCCTCTGGGTCTTTCTCTTTTTCATCCTCTGTGTTTACTCTCTTGGCTTTTTTGAAGTTGGAAGAGTCCTTGCGGCCCCCCTCTCCCTCCTCTTCAGAATCGGAGAACTCTTCCTCACAGGCAGTTCGTTTGTCAGAGGAGCAGATCGAGATGCGCTGGTCAGGGTCTTCTTCGTCCTCATCGCCACTCTCCTCAGGGATTTTGTCCTCAGGAATCACCTGCATTTGGACCTCAGGTGCATGCGGCAGCACTCTAAGGTTCTCAAACAGTTGCTGTTTGATCTTCTCTGGGTACTCATTGGTGCTCTGGTTAGTCATATTGGAAGGACTGATGTGGAGCTTGAAATCTGGTCCAAAGTATTCAAAGTAGTCGTTGTACGGAAGCTCATTAGGGATCTCCGTATCCAGGGCCACAGCTGTCTCATATGTCCAGCACCGGGCAACATTATAAATGGTGTAACCACCACCTCCCAGCATCAGCATAGGCAGGTTAAAGCTCTTGACAAGTTCCACACACTTGGCTTGCCCTTTGATGGTTAGACTGAAGCAACCTAACCGATCCCCAGATAGGGAGTCTGAGCCACACTGTAAGGCTACCGCACTAGGCTGGAACATCTCCATTACTTTGGACATGACTGGCTTGAAAATGACCTCACAGGACTCGTCCTCAATCCCGTCTCGGAGCGGTTAGTTAACAGCATAATACTTGCCTTTGCCAGCCCCGATATCCCATAGGTCCCCAGTTCCTGGGAAGTACTCTCCATACTTATGAAAGGACACAGTCATGACCCGGTCTGTGATATAGAAGGCCTCTTCCACACCGTCGCCATGGTGAATATCAATGTCAATACACAGCACCCTCTGGTGATACTTTAGCAGTTCCAGGATGGCCAAGACGACATCATTGACGTAACAGAAGCCAGATGCCTCAGACTTCTTTGCATGGTGCAGGCGCCCAGCCCAATTCACAGCAATGTCCGTCTGCTGCTTATTAAGTTTCACAGCACTTGCCACAGAACCACCAGTAGACAACTGACAGAACTCAAACAGGCAATCGAATACCAGACAGTCCTCACCAATGTTGAATCTCTGCATCTGCTTGCTGTACTCCGACATGTTATCTGGACGGGTGGAGTGCAAGAATTTAATGTAGTCATCGCTGTGACTGCATGTCATCTCCTCAGCATTGGCTTTGTGAGGGTGATGGATTTCCATTTTTCGGTAGAGACCATAGTTGAGCAGCAAATTATGAGTCATGCGGATTCGGTGAGGCTTCACTGGGTGGCTTGTCCGTAGCAGTAATTTCCAACATCCCCGTCGTAATAGTAACAGATTTTCCTCCAGGTGCCCTGTGTCCGTGCCATCTTGCTCGCCTGCCATCCCTACCGTCAGTCGGTCCATCCGCCCTCCTGCCCGCTGCTCCGCTCCTTGTTTGTTTTTTTGAGACAGAGTCTCGCTCTGTTACCAGGCTGGACTGCATTGGGGCAACCTTGGCTCACTGCAACCTCCGCCTCCCGGGTTCAAGCGATTCTCTTGCTTCAGCCTCCTGAGTAGCCGGGACTACAGGCACGTGCCACCACACCCAGCTAATTTTTATATTTTAAGTAGAGATAGGGTTTCACGATGTTGGCCAGGATGGTCTTGATCTCTTGACCTTGTGATCCACCCGCCTCCGCCTCCCAAAGTGCTGGGATTACAGGGGTGAGCCACCGCGCCTGGTTTGTTGGTTGTTTTTTTGAAAGGATCTTACTCTGTCATTCAGGCTGGAGTGCAGTGGTGCAATCCTAGTTCACTGCAGCCTCCATCTCCTGGGTTCAAGTAATCCTTCTACCTCCCAAATAGCTGGGACTACAGGCACACTCCACCATACTGGGCTACAATTTTCAGTACAGCCAGCTCTTGCTATGTTGCCCAGGCTGGTCTTGAGCTCCTGAAGTATTTCATTCCTTCCTATGGCTGGATAATACCCCAGTGTATGGATAGACCACATTTTTATTTGTTTCCATCTTTTGGCTATTGTGAATAGAGCTGCTGTGAACATTTATGTACAGGTTTTTGTATGGATGCATATTTTCCATTCTCTTGGGTATATACCTAGGAGTTAAAAAAAAAAAAAAACAAAAAAAACAAGAGCACCATTGCCTGGCCAATGTCATTTAGCTTTTATTTATTTATTTATTTTGAGACAAAACTGCATCTGCATGGCTGGTAGATACCTGAAAACATGCACACCCTAGAAAGTGGGCAGGAAAAAAACAAAGAAATAATTCAGTTCTACTTCTTACCCAACAGATTTGGAAAAATTAAGAATTATGGCCATAGCCAGTGCTGAAAATATAAGGAAAAGAGCACCTTCACACATTGTTAGAGAATATGTAAGTTGCCACAGCCCTTAGAAAAATCCAGCAATATTTATTGTTTTTTTTTTTTATTTTTTATTTTTTCTGAGACGGAGTCTTGCTCTGTTGCCCAGGCTGGAGTGTAGTGGCGCGATCTCTGCTCACTGCAACCTCTGCCTCCCAAGTTCAAGTGATTCTCTTGAATCACTCAGCCTCCCGAGTAGCTGGGACTACAAGTGTGTGCCACCACACCCAGCTAATTTTTTGTATTTTTAGTAGAGATGAAGTTTCACCATGTTGGCTAGGCTGGTCTCAAACTCCTGACCTCAGGTGATGTGTGCACCTGGCCCTTCCAAAGTGCTGGGATTACAGGCATGAGCCACCACGCCTGGCCCAAAATCTAGCAATATTTAAAATAAACTAGGCATGGTGGTTTACGCCTGTAATCCCAGCACTTTAGAAGGCTGAGGTGAGAGAATCACTTAAGGCCAGGATTTCCAGACCAGCCTGTACAATATAGTGACACCCCTGTCTCTACAAAAAAAAAAAAAAAAAGAAAGAAAGAAAGAAAAGAAAAATGTTTGCTGGAGGTGGTGAAGTATACCTGTAGTCTCAGCTGCTGGGAGGCTGAGGTGGGAGGATCACTTGAGCCCAGGATTTGGAGGCTGCAGTGAGCTATGATCGCACCACTGCATTCCAGCCTGGGCGACAGAGAAAGAAGTACGTTTTGAAAAGTATCCATGCCCTTTGACCCTGCATTTCTCCCTGTGGAAATCTGTCCCATCGAGATACCGGCGCCAGAAGGCAAGGAAAGTGCATGTACCAGATGACTGACTACAACACTTCAGTGAGAGGAAACAAAATTACCCGAATCGCTAGGAGGAATGGTAATAAATCATGCTACCCCTGCGTTAGGAAATACTATGCAACCACGTCCAGAATTTGTCCTGAACTCCATCATGCTCGCACCTCCTCTGCCGCACCTCTGGAGGAAGTCCCCATCAGCTCTCCGGGCGGTGGCTGCACCTCCTTCCCTGTCTCCCCACATCCA